CGCCAATTACACTTTTAGACTTAACAATGGCCTTTACCTCGACCTCTTCAGCTCACTTAATCACCTCTTTAGCTCCTTTTTCAGCTGCACTGGCCCAAGCTCGTTTCTCCTCAGCCAAAGCTCACTCATCTACCACTCTCTTATTCTCCATAGTAGTCTGTTCATTAGCTTTTTCTCCCCACACCTTTAGGATCTTATTATCGTCTATGAGGCTTAACTTGGAGGCAGATTTTGCCTCCAACTCTACTCCCATTTTGTTGAGGCGGTCCTCATACTCCATTTCTTTCTCGACAAACCCAGGTTACCCAGCCCTCTCCACTTCCATGCTTTCATAAAGCTTCATAGCCTGGTCCTTAGCTTCAAGTATCTTGCCTTGCTCAGCTTTCACCTGGGATAACAAAAATTCAACCCGGCAAATAAGTACCAAAATGAAATTCAAAACTCCTAAGTATGCGAGCCCAGGAGAAGTACCTTATCTACCATAGATATCATATACAAGACAGATCTATGGCTGTGGAGCTGGGCCGCAACTATGGCCTTCTCCACTGGCATCTTAGCTAGGAAGCCTTGTTCTTTTTCATTTTAGCTCCTCGTAAGAAGCGTAGTAGACTCACGGAAGGTAGAAGGAAGGATAGTTATAGTCTTCCTTACCGGGGAAGGAGCACGGAGGAAGTCCAAAAATATTTTAGGGCGGCGACCAAGCAGACCTTTTAAGGTTGGCCTTTGCAAGTTAGGGCAGCGCTCTAATGACATGACAGAGCTAGATGCAGTAGCGATCGTGGCAGAGGGTGGTGGCGAAGTCGGCATAGCCTCGATAGCAATAAGAAAGGGGGATTGTTCTATCGGAGAAACTAAGACAGGGGTCCTCGCTCGTGGCACTTCGGGGCGGTTCCTTTTCAACGGTTGAATCTCCTCTACCTCTACATTCTCAGATCTGCTAACTACTTGAACTGAGGGGTCTCTCATTTTCCCGTCTAAGTTGCTGCTGCTTTTGTTTTTTTGTAGCCTAGCATATCCGTGTCCTGACCTGGAAAGGGAAAAGAATATTCGAAAAAAAAACAAAACAATAAGTGGGAACACCCCAAAGAGAAGGTCGTCCTTATTGTAGGTCACAGGCATGAAAGTTGAAGTGATGCGCGACCACAGGAGTGGCCGATGATGCCTGAGATAACCCCGCCTGGAATAGGTGAGATTCAGAGATAAAAATTTTTTCAGGATTTCCATCTCTTAGGCCAGGATCTTACTATCTCAGCTCAACTTTGTGTAGCCAGAGTTAAGGTTGCCTTCTTATAAATTGCAAAAAGAAGGAAGAAATATTAAAACCACTCTATTAACCGGCTTAGTAAAGCAAAAATGAAGGAGCTTCCACTTATATAATGAGTGATAGAGAGTTAGGACAACGTCCTCCCTTTCCACCTTGGCAGGATGGAAATGTTACTCCCCCAACATATAAAAGAACTCCTCCTTCCACTTCTTGATGGAGAAAGGTGTATCTAATACTAAGGAACCCCCCGTCCTAAGCTTGACACTAGTGTACCACCAGATGGAATCCTTCCCGTCTTTCTTAAACATGAACAGGGAGTTGAACTGCTCGACGCTAAGCTCGAGGTTTCTCGCTCGGTGCCATAAAATAAAGGTAGCAATCAAAGTCCTTCACCCGTTGGGACATAACTGGGTTGGGACAATACCCCAGAATGAAAGGAATTTTCTTACCACCCAAGAAAAATGGAGCTTAAGACTGGCATTCAAAATAGCGCAATTTAAGGCCACGCATCCCACAGGGAGAGCGTCAGCCCGATCGAATGGCACAGGAACTACCAATTCTATCAAGTTAGGTATACCATACTTAGCTCTCCAGCTCGCCAACATATTACCGGTCACCACCGACCTATATGAACTCGCCTCTCACTCACCTGAGTGACTCTCTTCACTTCCCCTAAGAAATCCAACCTCCTCTCCTCTCGAACCCTCATGGTCTAACTCCATGTTCATAGGGCATTCTAGATCTACTAGGTTAAAAATGGGGACAGAAGTTAGGATTTGAGGAACTAGGGGTGGAAAGAACTGACTCTTCCTTTTGGTTTCCCTAGGAATGTACTCTAAACTCGTTCAGCTCATGAAAGTGCGAAGAGAAAAGAACGAAGAGGAGAAGCAGAGGAATATTTGGGAAAGTGAGAATAAACGACCTCACTCAGAAGAAGGAAAAATGCACTTAAGAGTTCTTTCGCTGCCTCGGGAAAATGAAGGGCCTAGATGTATCCAGCCAAAACTACGTCATTTTGACGAAGCTTCTAAAGGAAGCCAGTAAAAGGGCGTACAACTCATCCTCACTAGGACACGACATTTGGCATGATTCAAAACTGCAATCATGACGCTTCTAGAAAGAAGGGCCAGCCGAGTCCAGAGGTCAGTTCTCCTCCAAAACAGCACTTACCTGGGGGTAACTGTTGACCACCGACGTCCAATCTCATATCTATTGCTCACGGGCCCCACCCCATATACCTCACAGTTCGGCCACAGAAGTTCAGCTCAATCTTTTTACCTTCGTAATCCCAAAAGACATAATGGTTGTATATCCTTACGCCTAATCAAATCACCTAATCAATCAAACACACTTGGGAAAGTGACGCCAGCACCGCCTAATCCCACCAATAGATTCCATAGTTCTCCTACTTTGGCAGGCTATCATTGCTTGAGTGAATATTAAGATAACGACAACCGACCTCATCAATCAATCAAAGAAAGATCGGCTGCGTGCTGTCTGAGTTCGACGCTGTAGCTGGTTTGATTGACATGACATAATCTTGGCAAAAAGAAAAAGGGGTCTCCTATAAAATAAAGGTAAACATGGGCTAAGTGGGGGAAGAGGTGGTACAATTAAGCCTTTCATTACCAAGACAAAGAGTCTCATTTTTCTTAAAGTTAGCTCAAGAATAGTTTTTACAATTTTTGATGTCAACAATAAGCATAGCAATACTTGAATCTTTAAATAAATAACATATTTAGCCAATTTTGATATAACTTAAAATTTGATAAAAATCTAAATCAAAGTTGGTAATTAATTTTAACTACACATTTTACAGTGTCTACTACCTTTTCACTACATATTTCATTAACTTTTAACAAAATTTACTTTTTTCACTCCTTTATGGAAGATGAGTAAAATCCTAGATCTAAGATGTGAACAAAATTCTACCTATAACACCTATGTCACCTTTTTTCCTGTAAAATCTGATTTTTACCTACATCAAATAAGGGCTTATAATGAAGATTTTGTACAATCCAAAAGATAGTAGCAAAATAAAATATCTCTTCAACTGAGAGATTATGCTAGCATAATATTTAGTCTTCTTAAATTTTGAGATGCAAAATTAATAATCAATCTATCCATATTTTAAGAGACGAAGTTTATGTTAAAGAGAGGAGGTCTTTATAGAGTATGATATACAGCATATATGGCAACTTAAAAAGCTGTTGATTCTATTAGTATTTTTTTTCAAAAAGTTTAGGGACCTAAATGCAAATTAGCAAAATTGTCATGTTTGTGAAGAAAATACTATCAAAATGTAAATAATAATATCCAAGAATAATTAATTGGGAAAACTCAAGTAATGCACAATTTTACGAATTCTAAAAAGTTTAAGGACTAAATTGAAAATAGTAAAAAATTACTAACCATAAGTTGAAGTCCTGAAAAATATTGTAAGGATGATTTGTAAGGAACAGAGTAATTTTCAGATCTCAAACCTAGGATGGGTCCCTACATGCAAACAATGCAAAATTTAGGGACTATATTGTAAATAGTAAGATATATTTTTAGATTCTATAGTGACGGTTAAGATTATTTAGTGGTGAGACATATCACCAGATGCTAAAAATTTTGATTTGGACACCTTTTGATAAATTTGAGATCTTGAAGGAAAAAAGTCAAAATAAGTTGCGAGATTATTGGACCAAATGGTATTTATTGACGCAGCGATGATTACTCTACCAGTGAACTCATATTAAATGACGCATTATGGGCTCGATTAAAAGTCAATTAGGATAAATTAAATTTGAATTATAACTCATTAAAGTAAATTACTTGATTGGTAATATTAGTTTTCAAATTAGGGTGCGTTTGATTGTCAATATTTTTCATGAAATATGTGTTTTTTCCACACAAATACCTAATGTTGTGCTGTTTGATTTTCAATTTTTTTTCATGGAAAACATTTTTCTACTTTTGGTTACGTGACTATATTTTCCTCAAAATGAAGGAAAATATTTTTTTAGGAGGAGTACGATTTTATTTTTCAGGGAATTCACTCTCTCTTCTACCCACCAATAAAAAGCAGATTAGTATAATATTTTCTAAATTAAAAATTAAATCAATCAAACATATTTAATCGACAATCTTTATGCAAACAAATTCTAGTAAATTGAATTATCTAGAATTACATGCTTGTAATCAAATGCATACTTAGATTAAATTAATTGCAATATTGAACTTGTTTGATAACTAGTAATTAATTATATATATTATACTTGAGAAAAGTTTATTTTGAATAAACTCAATCTAAATTAGAGTTGACCAAAGAATATTATGGTTTAATGAATCATTAAGAAAGCCTATTATTTATTATTTTTTAGCCTCCTCAAATTTTGAGGTTTAGACGATTGCCTAGGTGACTTTGACCCGGACCGGCCTGATATTTTAGTTGTGTAATTTTCTTTTATTTTTGTCTTCAACAAGTGAAGGTTCCTTGAGGTTATTGAAGTGGAAAAAAATACACAAGTTTTTGGATAATTATTACAAGAGAAAAAAATCCACAGCTTATTCAATAAGGAGAATATTCTCTCTCACATTTGAATTGGACAAACGGAGACTTTGACCCAAATACGTTAAACAACTTGGTTCATATTACGTACGCACCTCAAGAAAATTCCACCAGATTTTGAAAAGTCAGCTCTAATCCAATTCTATTATTTGGTTCTCACGTCTATATATTTTTCAATCAGCGGAAAAGAAAAATTGAATTTCTGTCCATAACATTAGATCCTTATTATTCCAAATACATGATATTGATCATTTTTAACGAAATAAAGAAGACAGTACCATTGTTTCAAAGCAAAAAAATGCCTTTTGATTTATCTAGCAGCAAAGCAGGTTCCAAGGTGTCGTGTACTTTATCTCTACTTCTTGCATCTTTTCTGTTCACTGTTTGTCTCGGATTAGTAGTAGAGGCTGACCATTCATCCACAAATATTGGAGCAATTATCGATGTTGATTCCCGCATCGGGAAGGAACAGAAGACGGCCATGATCATGGCCGTGCAGAACTTCAACAACAATTCAAGGAATCACAGGCTAAAGATTTATTTCAGAAAAACCAGCGAGGATCCTGTTCAGACTGTTTCAACAGGTATCTTCATGTGTTCTTTATTGATATTCAATATGATGCATAAAAGAAAAATTCGAAGAATACCATATTAAATGGAAGTATTTAAACAAACTCAAGCATGGCGACCAGCCGAATGTTTCCTCACGCCACCAAACTTGGTTTAAAAGTCCCGAAATACACATGAACGCCCTTTTTTTCTCTTGTAATAATTATCCATCAGAAATGATCAAATTCGTTTTCTTGAGGTGCAGCCGAAGAGCTGATTGGCAGGAAACGAGTGCAGGTTATCGTTGGGACGCGAACATGGGAGGAAGCAGCTTTAGCTGCCGATGTTGGAAAGAAAGCACAAGTGCCAGTCCTTTCATTAGCAGCAGCTTCCAGTACACTGCCAACGACCCAGAATCGATGGCCTTTCTTGGTACAAATGGCGACCGATAGCCAGGAACAGATAAATTGTATCGCAGATATTGTCAATTCCTACCACTGGCGAAAAATCATAGTAATTCATGAAGATAACAATTATTTTCCTAATTCCGGGTCGTATACTATGCTATCCAAGGCTCTTGAAAAAGTTAGCGCATCTATTGAGTATGATCTTATCCTTCCAACATTCCATTCTCTGTCTGATCCAAAAACGTATATTAGACAAGAAGTAAGAAAGTTAAGGAAGAAGCAATCTCGGGTTTTTATTGTTCATCAATCGTCTTTACCACTGGCTACGCATTTATTAAGAGAAGCGAAGGATTTGGGACTAATGGATAGAGATTCGGTGTGGATTCTGGCAGACTCTATTTCAGATCTTCTGGATTCTGTTGATCCCTCTTTCATTTCGTCCGCGCAAGGTGCTATTGGGATCAAGAGCAACTATTCAGACAGCAACAGGCATTTTCTAGACCTGAAAGATCAATTCCGAAAGAATTTCTCACGGTCGTACCCAAATGAAGACAATTCGGATCCTGGAATCCACGCTCTAAAAGCATACGATAGCATTACAGCTATTGCCGAGGCAGTAGAAAAATTAAGTAGGAACACGACTAGTAGTCCAAAATTGCTGCTAAATGAAATTCAATCCAGCAATTTCATTGGACTAAGTGGTGAAATTCGTTTCTATGGTGGAAAATTAGAGCGGAAATCTACATTTAAGATTGTTAACATCGTCAACACGACATATAAAGAGCTGGGCATCTGTTCATCAGAATTTGGCTTCTCAGAGAGGCATATGGAGGAGAAGGGCATTAGGGTTACTGGTATTGACAGTATGAATGAATTCGTCAGCTCGGTAAAATGGCCAGGGGAATTGGATCGAGTCCCAAAAGGGTGGGCAATGCCTAATGCGTCAGACCCCATGAGAATTGGAGTTCCGAAAGACCATCCTCCTTTTACATTTTGGAATGAAACATCAAATGACAATGAATTTGACGGTTTTTGCGTTAAACTTTTCGAAGAGGTGGTAAAAGTGTTGAACAAAAGTTATACCCTTCATTATTCTTTTGTGCCTTTCAATGGTACCCATAATGAACTGGTTGGGAATGTCAGCAATGAGGTAATACTTTCATCTGCCTGAAGCACTGCATTTTCGTGCTCCCCTGCCCTGTCCTTTATTGTACTTTGCAAACATCGTTTAGATTGTAGAGAAATATTCGAGTCAATTTCATCCCATCTCAACAGTAAGAACGACATAAAAAATTAAATTTATTTTGCGTTATAACTAATTGTTGTACTTTTGTGATTCACATTACATGGTAGATATTTGATGCTGCAGTGGGGGACTTTACCATCTTAGCCAACCGGTCAAGATTTGTGGAATTTACTCAACCATTTATGGAATCTGACTTGCAAATGTTGGTCCCAGTGAAATCCGAACACCAGATGGCGTTGATGTTTGTTAAACCTTTCACTAGGAACATGTGGATGGTTACTATTGCCATTTTATTTTACACGATGTTCGTTGTTTGGTTTATTGAGCATCAGAAGAATCCAGTATTTAAAGGGTCACGGAAGGATCAGCTTGGAACTGCAATGTGGTTCACGTTCTCTTCTCTATTCTTCGTTCATAGTAAGCATCTTAATCATTTAGTGCATGTTTTGTAACGTGGACAAGACAATGTTGCATAGTTTTCATCGGAAGAGAAACTAAAATCCGTTTTTTATCGCACTGTTCAATCTTTCATACCTAGTATTAACGACCTTTCTCTGTATGAATCTGAGGCAAATATACTTGTATTTTACAGGAGAAAAAGTTAATAGCAACTATACAAAACTGGTGGTTGTGGTGTGGCTCTTTGTTGTTTTGGTATTATCCTCAAGTTACAAGGCTAGCCTCACATCAATGCTGACGGTCTCAAGACTTGAGCCAAGTGTGACTAGTTTAGAGTGGATAAAGAGTAAAAATTTATCGGCAGGGTGCGATGATGACTCTTTTGTAGAAGATTATCTGAGGGATGTACTTGACCTTAAAAAAATCAAAACCATAAGCGGCCATGACAATTTTCTGGGGGAATTTAGGAGTAAAAATATTTCAGCTGCATTTCTTGATCTTCCTCACCAGAGAGTTTTTCTCAAAGATCATTGCAAAGATTACACCGTGACTGGACCTACCTACAGTTTTGGAGGACTGGGATTTGTAAGTATTCAGTAACTTGTGATACTAATTTGAGTTGTCACAAATCCAAAATTTTCTGCAAGTATTACTGGAAAGAACATATCAAATGCTTGAAATTTGTACGGGTTTTTGTATACAGGTATTCCAGAAAGGCTCTCCAATAGCTCGCGATGTTTCTGAAGCCATTCTAACTTTAATGGAGAATGGAATGGTTAAAAATTTGACAAATAAATACCTTGGTTCCTCAGACGGTTGTCCAAATTCTGAAACAGAAAGTTTGAGTCTCAAGAGTTTCTGGGGTTTATTCCTTGTTTCTGCTGCCATTTCAACTATCTGCTTCCTCATTTTCACTCTTCGGTTGTTGAAAAAGAAGCCAAAAGACAGCCAAGTACATTCATATGATCTTGCACAACGAGGAGGGAGTTCTTCCTAATACAATGGCTAGTTTGGCGCAGTTTTTTCAGGGTGGAAGGCCGAAGATTCTAATGAGGAGAAGTACGTTTACTTGATCTAAATGTGCTGACAATTGAAATGTTCGGTAATGTTGATTGAAAACTTTATAGTAGAGATCAGATCAGATCCTTTTTCATTCTGCATACCAAATATACCCTGAATTGTTAAGTCATTAGGCAACCAATATTACTAGGATTGACATGCTGTTCAAGGCTGGACATATCTAAAATATATTATATATAAATAAATCCAGATACGGTTCAGTTGTATATTGTTTATTTACAAAGTAAAAAAATTAATAGATTATGAAAAGCTTCTTTGTGTAAATTTAAATCATATACAGCATTCTTGAAATTTTTGTGTGACTTTTGTTTTTGGTAGAGGTCAAATTACGTCGGGCTGTTCATCTTGAGTATGTATTAAAATGTCTAACATAGAGGTGGTAAAATGTATTTGACGTAGCAGAAGTTTATATAGGAAAGAATAAATTTACACGTATAAACTCAAATTTGTTGATTCGCTCACGAATGTCAAGAAAGAGAAAATATTGAAAGAAAATTTCTCATGAATTTTCACTCTAATAAAAAATAACTATGTGCCATTAAAGCTTTAAAGCAATGACTAACATCTAGATAATGACTAAAAACAAAAGACATAACATTGAGAATTAATCCGTAATTCTCAAAATTGACTCAAAACGTACTGTTTCCACCCAAAATCGTCTCAAACTTCTCCTAAAATGGACATTGCGAATAAAAATTAGTTGACGTTGGTTCTATTTTTTCATAAAATCCTCTTCATTTTTACCGCATCAATATGAGGGTGTTTATGGATGACCAAACATGTAGAAGGCACAACCAACCAAGTGATATATTGATAGACATGTAATTGTCGAAAAAAGGCTTCCGAAATTTATAAAAAAAGGAAAAAAAAGAAAAAAGAAAAAGAAGAAGCCACGTATTGACGCAATTTGTAATACAATTCTATTTCAATTTCGTCAGACGGCGGGAGAGTTGGACAAGGAAGCAAATGCTGGAAATAACTATTCTTTTTCTATTTTTTTTTTAAATATGTATTTTTGAACTAGAGGGCAATATTGCTTTCTCGATGATTTTGACAATTTCATCCAAAAAAAAAAAAGAAAAAAAAAACTTCAAAAATTGAAGTTTGGGGGTGTGAAATTAATTCTTCATAAAATTTATGAATTTTTTTTGTCAAATTGATTTTCTAGTTAACGCGTTTAAGCAATGACAATTTCGACGAAGGCATTGAATCACTGCTATTTTTATTAACTTACATTTTGAACATTTATTTTTCTGAACATTGTAGTTTAACCTTTTCATCAACGCCTGTGGGCGCCTTTGACGGTTTTTGAAGTTAGAATTTTTAGTTTGGGGTCTTTTAAAATTGACAATCAACGATGTAGAGAGAATGACATTTGAATGAAATAATAAAGCTATATATATATATATATATATTTTTTTTTTTTAATTATTTTTTTTTTTTTTGGTC